TGTTTATTGATGGTATATTTGGTATATAAGGTATATTTGTGGAAGTTCTTCAATGATCTCAACCAAACTTTTGAGTTATAGAAGACAAAACTGAAGGCAGAGACCTCCAGACAAGCAGCAACTGCAGGTGTCTGCAGTAAAGGCCTAGCAGAGCATCTCAAGGGAGGAAAGACAGCATTTAGTGATGCCCACGGGTTCTAGACTTCAGGCAATCACTGACTGGAAAACGTTTTCAACCAAGTATTAAAACCAATCCTCATATTTAAGATAGAGCAAATCTGTCCAGTTACTTCTGAGCATCTGAAAAAGGGCGGTTACGTATAAAAATGGCTGCAATTTTAACATTTTAAAATGGTAGCCTGTGGAGGCTGATGTGCACTTAGTGGACTTTTGAGGAACTGCACACTTCAACTGCAAAGGCTTCATTTTTCAGCTCCAAACAAAAGCTTGACTCTGGTTTCTTACTTACTTCCTCAGCTGGGCCGAGGTCGGTTTACGTTCAAGAAAACTGATGAGTTAGGAGTCTCGATGCCATATTAAGAACTATTAAATATACTGTATCCGTCCAGCGAATGAAATTTCCCCATGCGGCATTAGGTGTCTTGTTTTAATCAGCTGGAGGAAGTGCTCGAAATAAGTAGCCTCACTCCACTGGATACGAGGTACGATGAATCTGAGATGTAGTGAAATGTGTTTGTGACAGACGGCGATGACAACAGCTGAATTAGAATAGCAGTAGGCAGCAGTGCGTGGACAATAGGAGAAGAAGGAAATACATCCCGAGGATGGGGATTATTCCCCATAGAGACCAGCGCTCCTGCTACACCCATAATGCATTATGTCTCCCTGTGATCTCTCACCTCAATTTCAACCTCTAGAAACGGATCTGTTCCATTTGAATAATTCACCATCAATTTCTCTTCCTGTCGTCTTCCTCGGTGCAGTCCTGTCTCCATCCTTTCCTCCTTGGGCCTGGGTTTTTTTCCTTTTTATGTGACCTAAAATTATCTAAAAAAAGATCACTGAACTGTCAAGCGTAAAGATGTATCACGCCATTCTCTCTCCTTCCAGACATCTTCACATCTTTAAGTTTGCATTGAGCTTCCAGCGCTAATACAATCGCCATTTGTGGGAAATACTTTCATATCATTCATGCTGACAGGCGACAGCATTTTTGTTACTTTGGTGAGGTAGTTTTATTTTTGTTAGTGTTCAAATGCTATTCTCTGAAAGGAGGATGGCCCCTTTAACAACTGTACACGCTGAAAAACAGAAAAAAGGTGGACCGCGTATTGTCGTATTGTCCGCTGTCAAACAGAATAAACATGCACACGCATTGCTTGCACACACACTGCACACAAAAGCTGCACAAAGGGATTTCGAAGGTTCGTCAAAGTCTTTGTTTCAGCACAAAGACAGGTCTAAAAGTAAAATGCGATTTCACTCAAAGGCACGTGAGCCCAAAAACAGCCCAGTTTTAATCCCACATCAGAGGCAAGTAAGGAAATCGAATAACAGTCGCAGAAGGAAACGCTTTCTTCACAGAGTTTTGCACTTATCGTGTAAACACAAAGTCAACAGATCATTAAAAAGGATAAGCTACGCAGTGCACGATACTCACGACAAAGCACGGTCCAGCCGAGGTCTTCAGACATTCCTCCAGGAGTTTCATTCTGAGTCGCTGCAGCTCTGGACTGTCCCACTCCTCTGGATCGACCCCCCAGTACAGGTCCACCACCTGAACACGCAAACAAGCAATTCTCAGTTTTAATAAGACAAATTAGAGACATGCAGAATCATTATTTTTCTGGAAATTGTGCCTTGCAGCATCTTAATACTTTTTAATTCATTACCAGTTTAGGGAAAATATATTATTATTCCCATCTGCACTCATTTAAATTCGGTGCTACTTTTGGAGCTACAGTTAGCATGGCTCATGTCTCAATAGCTTGTAGAACCACCTTCAGCAGCAATGATTTTATCAGTGTTACATGGTTGTGGAGGATTTTTAGCCCACTTTACAGCGCTGCTGCCTCAGTTCATTGAAGTTGCATTTCAGTCACGCTGAGGTCTGGACTTTGACAGCAGTTTGATTCTTTTCTTTTTCAGCCATTCTGTTGCAGATTTGCTGTTGTGCTTGGGCTCGTTGTCCTGTTGCATGACCCAGTTTCAGCTCTAGCTGTGGGACAGATGACCTCACATTTGACTCCAGAAAACACTGGTGTACAGAGGAGTATATGGTCAATTCAATGACTGCAAAGTGCTGAGATCCTGTGGCTGCAGAACAAGCCCACTCCTCCACCACTGTGCTGACAGTTGGTATATGGTGTTTATTCTGTAATGCTGTTCCTGGCTTTCGACAAATATGGCGCTGTGCATTACGGCCAAACGTCCTCACTTTAGTCTCGTCCGTTCTAAAGGACGTTGTTTCAGATGTCTTGTTGCTTGTTTAGATGCAAATGTGCAAACCTAAAATGTGCTGCCAAGTTCTTCTTGGGGTGTTTTTCACACCTGCAGAGTTTCGTCAGTTTGAATCAAAGTCAGGTTTGATTTCCCCTTTGTGAACACAGTAATTACACCTGGGTGTGGACCAAAACAATCACACAAAGACTCTGTAGAGGGGGCGGTAGTGGCCCGGTACCGAGCTCTAGAGCGGTCTGTTTATGGTGTGAATTTGATTTGAGCCAACTACCAGGTGTACGCTAAACGCCTACCGTACACAGGTATGCTTCACTTTCTGGGATGCACCAGAGTACTATAGATGTGCAGAGTATACAAATCGTCAGTATGGGCTAGCAACTAACCATAAAATTAATGTAAATTCTCTCTGTATTTATTATGTCACCCACAAACAAAAGAAACTAAACCAAAGCTACAACTTTACAAACGCATCAACATCATGAGTTCGACCATCCGAGTGCCAAAATGTATGCTTTAATAAAGGTGCTCACAATTACTGATGATCAGTTATGTGTATTTCTTAATTCCTATGGAAGCAGTAAGGGTGTAGTTTTTAACAGAAAACCTTTCAGAAGAGAGCAGGACACAACAGCAACAATTATGATGCCACATCAAACAGAGTGGGTTGCAAAGCAGCTTGCAGTGGTAAATGAGCCATCAGCTGAGGCGGGCTGGCACTAAGCTCCATCATCATTATCTAACATCCTATAGCTTACTTAAACTAATCTCATAATCAGTCTCCATAAGAAAAGAATAAATAATTCACTGAAGCTTTCTCCTTTTCTTTTAAAAAATTAAAACTATGGATCTCGTGCTGTAGCTGTAGCTGGAGAATATTTGCAGATCCCAGAAGCCTCTCTGTTTGGCAATAATTTAAAAACTTACAGAATGGTCAGTTTCTGTGGACACACTGAAGCATAATAAGCTTAGCCGTATAAAACGGAGGAAATCATTTAAACAAAGTAGTAATGTATTCACGGAAATTTAAGGAAAACTGATGCCAAGTTTTGTCATTTCACAAAAGGGACCACGTATAATTAAACAAAGCAAAACGGCTCAAAAGGGGATCAGCGGGCTTAAAGTCTGCAAATCAGTTGAACCAAAGCCAGTACTTTCTTTAAACACACACACCTGCTTGCTGTCAATGAAACCCACTACACCAGTCACACACACACTCATCCTCCCTCAACACATTTGTCACAAGTTTTGGCAGTTGAGACAAATCCAACTATAAACACGCCGCAGGGAGGATTTCTCAGTAGATGAGGGAAGGCTGAGGGAACGCCTGTATAAATGTGAGTGTGTGTCTCCAACACGATGCTGCTGGTTCAGGGCTCACCAACTACCATCTTCCTGAAATCAGCCTGCTGGATTGGGCCTGACTTGTGAAGACTCAAGAATAATGGATGGATGGATGGCTACACATGATAGCCTTTTACTACTTGGAGCTCACGTTTCAGCAGCCTTATTGTATGAGCATCATCCCATGATTCTTCCCTCTTCTGCTGCTCGTAACTAGCTGTTTTTCCAGACTGACTGCATGCTTGCTGAGCGTAAGGAGCAAAAAGGAGGTTTTTCAGAGGGTTGAGATGAAGCCAAAGTGATACAGCATCGCTGCTGTCTTCCTTCATGCTCTGCTGCTCACCACACTTGCTAGTTCAAATGAGTTTAGCCTGGCACAATGACTGACACATCCGCAGCTTGGCAGAGAACAGCAGTGACTGGCAGGCCTATATAACTGGACAGCAAGGAAATTGAGAGTGTGGGACAGTCTGGGATATATTCGCTTCTCCCATTATTGGTAAGAGCAGCAGGAGGGCTGGAACTACGCCTCAGCTCATTTGCTTGATTGTTGTGCACCTGCGAGCAGCTGTATTACTGTGAAAGGCGACAGCTGTCAACAGCATATTTATTTCTTCCACAGCCTCAGGCAGGCAAATATTATCATGTGAAAACAAGCCAGTTGCTCTAACCACTCAAGTTTAAGATGCTATAACCAGAGAATATCTTCTTTTTTTGTTTTAGCTAGATGGTAAATAAACAGACTGTACATGAAAGATGGAAACTGCTTCCCATGTTGAAGCTAGTAGCCTTGAATATGCTTTCTATCTAATGACCAGCAGGGGGCACATCTTCTGGTTAAAAAGAGAAACGTTTGCAAAGAAGTCTATAAACTCCAACGCTCTATTTTGTAAGTGATGGTCTTATTTAAATTAACAGACATAATAAAGGGGGTTTAAAAGTTAGCTCTTTTGCTGTTTGGCAAGTTTCCCCCTATGATTGTGCAGTGTTTGTTTAGTTTGTAAGAGCTGCGAGAGTAACATCCTCCTCTCTGCCTCTTAATGCTCTCTGGTCGCTATGGTAACGCGTAAATATTTATTTCAAAATAAGACACACAACTACAACACGGGAAAGACCCAGGGAAACCGAGTTAACGATAAAAACCCTGAAAACCATAAATTTCACACCCGAGCTTCAGCTCTCGCAGCCCGGTACCAAACGACTCCGGGGTTTGGGGACCGCCGGTATAAAACAAGGATGTAGATTTTGGGTTGGAAATCTGAAGCCAACAAGGAAGTACCTTAAACCGGCATTATATCAGAGACCACCAGACTGCGATTGAAACCCAACCCTCTTCATCACAATACAATTCCTTAAAAAACGCTAACCACGAATGTCCAAGTCCATCTTTTAAAAGCAGTTTATGACAAAAAGACAAATTAATTTGGCACCACTTGCATAAACATAAATAACTGTGGCTTTCGTTAGATGAAGACCCCTTTACCTTTTCCTCAACTACCAGAAGACTATAAGTTGAAAGAAAGAAAAAAAAAACAGGAAAAAAAACCCCTATCCCACTCGTTAGTGGGAACACATGATTAGCATCCGTCGAGTTGGCCTGTTGTGTAAAACTCATCACTTGGCATCATCAGTCACTGCGTATCAATGCCACTAATCTACTTCCCATGGCCGTGTGCGGGGGACGGCAATCGTCCGCGTGTTGACAAAGACCGGAGGGAAGAGGAATAAAGTGAGATGAGCGCCCCTGATTACGATAGGTTTCTACTGGGCTTCAGCAGGTGATTGGGGAGGATGCACTGTAATTAAAAGCTAAATGACGGCATTAGTCATATCTGTTCACTGCGTGCATGTGCGTGGGGGAGGATATACTGATTAAATTTGCCCCGTCACCTGCCGCGCTTCACCGGAGTACAGAGGGATGGGGAGAAACAACAAAAACAGTCAGGGGGAATGATCCAAAACAGGCAAGGACACGTAAATGAAGTTAAGAGGGAAAGCAGTTGGCTGGGGGAATAGTTATGAAGGCTTATTGGGTTAGATGAAGAAAGCTTCCAGTGGGACTGGATTTGGCTGGAACCGTTTCACAGTTTTCATGTGTCTTTTCGCCCTCCTTCTCGCTTTTTCTTTTATGCCAACTTTGTCTTTGCCGTTCCTCTCTCTGATAGCTTTCCCTCTCCCCACGCTTTCCCTAAACTAGAGTGGTGGGGGTGCCGTTGCTTACGTAAGAGATGGAGCAGCTTCTGCTAAGCAGCTTTCTAATGCCCTTGGAAGGCGTTTGCCCGTGGCGGGTCAAGAGCAGGAGAAGCCTTTTTTTTCTCTTTTTTAATGTATTGAATGTCGGACTATTAGACTTTGGGATTATGCAGGAAAAGCAGGAAAAAAAAGGGCCTGTAATCAAAAACCCCACCAAAAGAAGCACTCTCAGGCTAAAGAAAAAAACAAGGGTAAAAATAGATACAGTTCTAACATAAATATGTGTTAAGCTCTGTGCTGCAGGCAGTTTTATTAAGAATATGTAGTAAATCTCTAAGAATGTTTGATGAATACCGGCCCATTTTGGAAAGCTCAGGTTTAGCACCCAGTGCATACCCAAATATACATTTCTTGCAGTGATTTAAACACAAAGTGGCCACCTAAGGGGCGATGGGGTTAAGCAGAGATTTTGACTTTTATGTTAGCTCTCTTAATGCCGTGGTTACTTTCTTATTTTAGCAATGATAAGAGGTTAAACTCTCGACTCTAAAGGCTGAAGCTGTCAATAATGAAGGCAGAGAGAAGATGACTTTGAGGAAAACCTGTCAAGCACTGACACACCGGGGTAATTTGGGCACAGTGTTTCAGATGTTGCAGCTCAGCCACTGAGAGCTGTCAAAAGTGTGAGGTAATAAGATCAGCAGCAGAAGAGAGAGTGGGCTTTTAGCAAAAATGGCTGGGGAAGATGTATATTTTATGGCAGAGGGTTCTGCACAGTGCACT